AATCTTTTTTCCCCCAAGTGTCATGTTTTAGAGGAAAACAGTTTAAATATTGTTAATATTAGTTTTTGCATTATCTGCTTATGAAGCTGGGTAGTGTTAATGCTATACAAGCCACTGAGTGACAGAAAAGTTAGTGCTAGTTCATTTTAAAGAACTCTGTAAATCATGTTTCTATAAATGAGGGTTTCTAATTTTCAGGTCCAACATCATGCACTCTATTAGGTCAGAAATTGATGCTGCATTATTTGGACAGGTATGAATCCAAGCTTCCCAATGGGGTACATGAAGTCATGACAAATTGTGAATGTAATTGCAAGAGCTGATCAGGAATTTTCCAGTTAATATTTTTGTTTTTCATTGGAAAGTGCTTATTCAGAGAAACTGAAAAAGTTCACATGAAGTGATTGGTTTTGACGAATCTCCTGATTCAAAAATGTTTTGAAAAAAGATCCCACATGGTTGAAACATCCCATCTTGACACTATTTAATGGAATTTTCATTTTGGGGGTCATAATGACATTTTATAGATTTTTACTTCATTTAAGTTATTTAACCTTTTTGGTACAGTGTCACAATCAGAATTAAATATTTTGAAATTACTGACATAAAATGTTTCTGTTGACCCCATTTGGATTGGTGTGTCACAAAATATTGAGATTTCCACTTTTCAGGATAGGAAAAAAATTGAAGTCTCAAACTCTTGCACAATATGAAAACTGTTTCCTCCCAACTGTAATATTACCTGTTGTTTTTACAACATCATAAGTATGCATGAGGCTTTACAGACAAATATATAAGTCCAAAGTGATGAGAACCTTACATCCTAAATTAGACTTAACACAGCAACAGATAACACTGACCAGAAGTTTGGAAGGGGGAAAGGTAAGAAGGAGGTTGTAAGATGAAAGAGCTTTAAACTTATCACTGGTCCAGGACTGTGCATTGCAGCATAGGACCTTGAATGCAGTATATCTTAGAAGGAAAAGTCCATGTTTTGGGGAAACACTTTTGTGCTAGGCCCTTTTTACTTAAAAAGTAGCAACTTTCTTGTCTTATCCACTATTACAGTGTTATCATTTTAGATACTAAACTCTCATATTTAAAATCTCTTGTATTGTAATGCTATAATAGTCCTGACAATGTGGAGTGGTGGCAGCCTCTGTCTGCCGGGGGGTCTGAGCTGCTCTTCAGCAGCAGCTCCTGTCCATGGGGAGCTTGGACTATATGGGGGGGAGTGTAGTCGACAGGATTAACCAATAAGCCCTTATTGGAAAAGGACTTGCAGGATCAATGCTTCCAGAGTTATTCCTAAGAGAGGAGAGGAGGAGTTTTCATCAAACTGTTTGACAGTTCTTACATAGCTGCTTGTAAACTTTTTGCCAAAATTAAGGTGAGTTTATTTTCAAAATCAAAACCAAGGGCACTTTTTTGGCAACCTTTTAAAAGTCAAAGCATACTCCCGTAAAAGACAAGAGTAAGCAATTTTTTGATATGTGCTGGTGTCGCTACTGCTAGAGCTCAACAGTGACACGGGTGGGATATTTTTTTCTGACATGCAGGAGTTTTCCCAGCTCTGAACAAGGGTCACTAACATTCACTTGAGCAACAGAACTGCTTTGATAGGGTCCATGCTCATTTGCTTTTTCTCTTCAGCTCAAACATCAGGTTGCTGCTTGCTGTTCCCCTTCCTGTCACTGTCAAGAAGCAAAAGGAAAGCTCGCAGTGTGGGCCACTCATTCCCCAGACCGCGTCCTTCCCTAGCCAGGAGGGAGAAGAATGTGATGGACAGGAGCTCTGGGCCTTTTTGAATCACTGGGCATGGGAGCAATTGTCCCTTTTGTCCCCCACTCCTTTCTCCTCTGCCAGTGGGCCTGAAACAGAGTGTTACAGGCTGAGTGAGATCCCCTTTTGCAATGCCCTGGTATCAATGTGCATTTCGTACATGTAGAGGATATAGGGGGCACTGACTCCTCTTGCTTCTTTTGCAACAGAATAAAGCCAACACTCTCGAGAAAAGAATATGGAAATAACCTCCACCCTCCACAATGCATAAGTGCACAACATGGAATTTCCTTCAGAAAGTAGTGACCAGGGCCTGAGTATAGACATGAGGATTTGGTCCATAGAATCTAAACTTTGCTTTAAGCAAGTCAGAAGGCTGTTCAGCCTATTTTACTTAAAATAGCTCACTAACAGCTGCATGAATCACAGTCATTGTTCGGCTTCAGCTCTTGAAGGGCTCTTGAGTAAAAGGTAGGAACATGGTTTGCAAAATTATACCTTAAGCTTGGCATACACACACAAATCCATGGACACTGTTAGGAATTTACAGATTAACGCAGGAGGCTATAATTAAATGGGTGTTATGGACTACACTTGTCATTTCAAATTGTATTTCTTGGCCTCACCGATAATTTTCTTGTCTACAGTCCTGTTCTGTTCAGGTTACTGTCTTTCTGTCATGTCATTTAACCCATATCCTGCTACAGATAAAACAGCGCTTCTTCTGCTCTTCAAAATTTGGGCTTTATTGGATAATTGAATAAATATACTTGTTTTGATTTCTTGTGACATAATCCTCTGGTGATCATGTAGTTTACTTTAATGGTTATGATGGATATGTATATTTTGACAAGTGTGAAGGTGATGATGAAAAGTGAAGACACTTGGTTATGAATAAGGCAAATGCATTAATCAGTGTTACTACAATGAATACTAAATGATATTGAAATCACAAGAAACATGGATGTGTTACTCACAGAATCACAAAGAATAATAAACATTACACATATCTAAACATAGCCACTTTTATTTTTATTCCCACTATAAAATATAATTTCTCAAGAATGTTCTGGGATAATAGATACTAGCTATGCAATTTGTCAGACTTAAGCAACATGATATCATAATTTTAATAATACAGTATGTTTCTTATGTACTAATATATATTTCCTTATGTGATTATAGATACATACATATAGATATAGGTTTTTATGTGCAATTTATATGTACATGTCTGTTAAAAGTACATTATTATGGTTGATACTCAAATGCTCAGAAGATGGGAAATACCAAAATTATGGTTGCTTATGTAACTTTAATTCCACTCCTCTCCCTCCCCCTCCACCCCGTATGCACACATTAAGCCCTAGTCTACACTAGGACCTTATTTCAAAATAATTTGCTCATCACTATGATACTGAAGTGCCTCACTAGAGTTGACTGAAAAACAGAAATTGCTTCCATGTGAAATATTGCATACTGTAGAAAAAAAAAAAACAAGGAAAATATCAATGCTATTTGAATCAGTGTTTTCCCCACAAAAAACTCTTTCAGAAAATGTGTCAGATCTTTCCTTCACAATCATTAATGAATTTATTTTCATGATATCCCTGGTGCCTGAGAAGGTGATATCCCCATTTTACAGGTGAGGAGCTGAAGCATAGAGGTAAAAGTCCAGAGTATCCACTCCTTTTAGGTGGCCAATTTTGGACACTTAAACCCTGATTTAGGGAGCGTATATAAACGCAGCACTTTATACATTCAAAGCCCACTGACTTCAGACAGGGCTTCTGCAGATGAGACCCCAGAATATCAAGTCAGGCACCGAGGAAATGAGGAACACACAGTTGGGACCATGGTGAAAAGTGTGATTCTCTGAGTACAGGTCCTACGGTGGGTATATATGCACTCTGAACGCCCAGGGCCAGAAGTTTTTCAATAGCAGTGTCTGATGCTCTGTGCCTGTACCCTTCACCTCCTCGTGCTCCCAGGAAAGGACAAAGGGGTAGCATGGACTGTTACCCTTCCTGTTGCATTCTACCACTTGCAGCCTGGGATGGAACTCTTTTGTGTCTGTGGCCTTCCAGCTTTTGCTCTTCTACCTGGAGCATACTGTCGTCTGTTTTTTTTTAGTTTTTGTAGATAGATAGTAGTTAGCTTAAAGCTAGCTGGCCCAGATTGAGGGGTTCCCCATCTATTTTCTAGCATTTGGGTCATTTAAAATACTCCAGATCCTAGGTTTCCAGTCCTACCTGGCCTCCCTTTGGTTCTTCCTGGTGAGTGACTTGCACAGAAAGTTGCATGTGTTGCCTCAGAGAACGACACATTCCACAGAAGCTGCTTCTTTCCCCCTTACACAGGCCAGTCACCAGAGTTTAGATTCCACAGGCATCTAATGGAGCTCTCCATGAGACCTCTGTCTGATTTGGGAACTTCTCCCTGCTCTCCGTCTCATTGGCCAGAACCAGCATTGGCACCTTCCGTTCTCGAGGTTTGGGCAGCTCACAAAGTGTGCAAGAGGTTCCATCCTTTCATCTGGTCCACTCATGTCTGGTCAAGTGGAAAAGATGACTACTGTTCATCACATAACACACGAGAGGGGGAGAGAGATCTGCCCCACGCTGCTGGGAAGTGATCCTGCTCTTGAAGTGGTGCATCCAGCATAGGATCATCCTCTCTGCCATGCATCTACAAAGGATAATGAACTCCCTAGTGGGCAGCCTTAACTGGCCTTTTCATGAGGATTATAAGTGGGCTCTCCACTCGTCAGTGATCCTGTGGATATTTTGTCAGCTAACTGTGTAGTTGTCATGAACCAAACCACTGCTTTTGTGCCATGTCAGCAACACTAACCTGGATAGAATGGGGGGGGGGGAAACTTTAAATGTGAAGCACTAGGGGAAGTTAAAATAGTTTCACATACTTCATCACCCATCCAGTAAGTTCTGTTTTCATATGTGCCAAACAACAAGTCTAAATCCATGTAGCCAGAAGACTCCCCATTCCAAAATGACCCCATTTCTAATATTATCCCAGCAAAATATTGTTATGGGGGCATGAACTAGAGATGAGAACATAACCTTTCTGCTGGAAAACAATTTCTTTAAACAAAACTAGTTGTCAGTATTCACAGACTGCAATTTTCCTTCTTGAAGTATTGTGTGTGTTCTAATGGGATCTGAACTTCACTCTTCTAATAATTTTCTTGTTTGTTCTAGAAATCTTGGGAAATCTGGACTAAGAGTTTCATGCCTGGGACTTGGTAAGTCTGTTTAAATTTTTAAATATACTATTTCGGCTTGACTTCAGTTGTAGTTATGGTCTATTATGCCAGAGCAAATTTGAACCTATATTTATAAGTCTCAGAAGTGGAACCATGTTTGTATCTGCAAAAACAAAAAAAAAAAAGAGCCCTATGGCACCTTAGAGATTTATTAAGGCATACTCTTTTGTGGGTAAACCCAGATGAAGTGGGTTTTACCCACAAAAACTTATGCCCTAATAAATCTGTTAGGGTATGTCTACATTGCATTCCTCTTTCAAGAAAGGAATGCAAATTCAGATGAATGAATTGCAAATGAAGCGTGGATTTGAATTTCCCGCGTTTCAGTTGCATAATTGCATCTGGGTGCTATTTTGAAATACCCTGTTTTGAAAAAAGAAATGCTGTGTACATGCTGTTATTTTGAAAGAAAACCCTTCTTTAGAAATAACCCTTACTCCTTATAAAATGAAGGTATTTTGAAATAGCGCCCGGACGTGATTATGCAAATGAAGCATGGGAAATTCAAATCTGCACTTCATTTGCAATTTTGTTCATCTGCATTTGCATTCCTTTCTCAAAAGAGGAATGCAATGTAGACATATCCCTAGTCTCTAAGGGTATGTCTAGACTACATGCCTCTGTTGCCAGAGGCATGTCAATTAGACTACCCGACATAGTCAGTGAAACCGGGATTTAAATATCCCTTGCATCATTAAAATAAAAATGGCTGCCGCCCTGTGCTGGCTCAGCTGATCGTCGGCACAGCGCGCGAGTCAAGATATGGATCGGTCGACAAGGGAAGCCTTTTGTCGACTGCTCCCTAATGCCTCATGAAACAAGGTTTACAGGAGTGATCGTCAGAGGCTTCCCTTGTCGACTGATCTACGTCTTGACTCGCACGCTGTGCCGACGATCAGCTGAGCTGGCACAGCACGGTGGCCATTTTTATTTTAATGAAGCCGGGGATATTTAAATCCCGGTTTCACTGACTATGTCGGGTAGTCTAATTGACATGCCTCTGGCAACAGAGGCATGTAGTCTAGACATACCCTTAGAGACTAGGGATATGTCTACCCTGCCTTCCTCTTTTGAGAAAGGAATGCTGGTGGCTGACTCACCGAGAAGAGTGAGTCAGCTACTAGAGAATGGACATATCTCTTAGTGAGTGTGTTATAGCCTCCTCCTGTTGGGGCAATTCATCCCAAATGTTTATGGTCCACAGGAATTCTTATTCCCATGAAAGAGACACTTTGTAAACACTTAGGGTACGTCTAGACTACATGCCTCTGTCGCCAGAGGCATGTAGATTAGGCTACCCGACATAGTAAAATGAAATTTACATGGCTACCGCGCTGAGCCGACAAACAGCTGATCAGCTGTTTGTCGGCTCAGCGCGGTAGCCATGTAAATTTCATTTTACTATGTCGGGTAGCCTAATCTACATGCCTCTGGCGACAGAGGCATGTAGTCTAGACGTACCCTAAGTGTTTACAAAGTGTCTCTTTCATGGGAATAAGAATTCCTGTGGACCATAAACATTTGGGATGAATTGCCCCAACAGGAGGAGGCTATAACACACTCACTAAGAGATATGTCCATTCTCTAGTAGCTGACTCGCTCTTCTCGGTGAGTCAGCCACCAGAGCAGAGGACATATAGTTTTCAGCTACTGGAGGCAGGAAATGGTGAACTGTGGCCACTGAGTGCCATGGGGGGCTGTGCCTGCAGACAGTCAACATAAACAACATTCTCATGACCCATCAGCAGATTACCCTGCCGAAGGTTGCCGACCCCTGATCTAGCCCAATATATTTTTATATTATACGTAAAGCATATGTAATGATTACCCCCTTTATCATCTTCAGAGACTGCACAAAAGAGTTCTCATTAATGCCATTTTATAGATGGGGAAATCGAGGCACTGGATTTTATATATAGTGTGTGTGTGTGTATTTGTGCCTTTAAGGTTGCAAAATGTATGTTTAATTAACAACTTTATGAGGTTTTTTTTCATTTTTCAAATCAGATGTAATATAAATGTAATTAATCAGGAAGTATTAGACACATTCTAGTCCTGTAGGTACTATGATGAAAAAGGCTAATTCCTCACATGCTATCTTGGATATTTTATCCCTTCAGCTAAAATTCCCAAGTGAGAACTTGTACGATGTTTTAGACAAATCTTAATATCTCAACTCTTGCAAATGATATCTATGACTTTAGTGAGAGCACTCCTGTGAATAATGCCAGCGGGATTTCATCCTAATATACCGAAGGAAAAACAATTAGGATCCCAGGTTATTTAAGGAGTTTGTACTTGTTTTTTTTCTGGCTGCAAGTACAGTTCTGTGGTGAGAAACTGAAGAACTGGATATCTGGAAAAAGTGAGGAGGACTGCACAGAGAGAGCATATGGGCATATGCTCTGTTTGTCTAGAGGTGTGTTGAATGAAGCATTAATTGTGATTCCCTAGAAATCTAGCTCTGCTATGATGTTGGTCGAAGGTGAAAAAAGGTGTTAAAATGCAGTAATGCTTGGATGAATGATTTATAACAAAATAATGTAGGCACATAATTTGAGAAAGTGTGTGTGTGTGTGTGTGTGTGTGTGTGTAAGAGGGGGTGGGGGAAGAGAGAGATTGTCACTCATTACATTATTTCCCTTCCCAGCAAACAAACATATTATAGAAGCATTTCAAATCATGTTTCCAAAGCTGTGGAGCATACGAATGAAAGCTTAATTGTTTGTCTGATCTTCTTTTCAACTTTAATTCTGGGTTTCCTAAATTAGGACACATCTACACAGCATGCCATTATTTCGAAATAATGTCGAGCTGGAGGACTTCTTATTCTAACTTGGGAAACCCTTATTTCTTGAGAAAGGGTATTGTTCCTTCGACTTCCTGCTGTGGAGACAGCACCAAAAGCCAAATTAAGCTATTTCGACTTAAGCTACGCAATTGACGTAGCTGAAGCTGCATAGCTTAATTTGACTTTAGCCCTGCTGTGTAGAGAGATACCTTTAGAGTGTTTAACCTTGCAATGTTAATATATATATATTTTTAGCCTGAGTTGTTTGGGGTCTTTCGTGCATGTAATTATTTATATAGTTTCCTTGCAGGGTGTCAGATGTCATGGTCTGTGCCCAGAAAGGAATCCTCAGCCCAATCTTTTAAAGCCTCATAATAGTAATAAAATTACTCAGTGGCCCATTCTGCAGCCCAGAGGTTCAGTAGCTTGTATTCAGATTGCAATCTTATTTACACAGTAGATCGTAGCAGACAATCTATGTAGCAGTGGAGCCCCCTCATCTATAACTGCATCCAAACCCCTCTCCGTGGCTATGCACAGTGAGCCCTCAAAGTGTAGAACTATGGGGCTACTGAGAGCCTCCCTGCCTGACCTCATATAAATTTCCCTCTATCTCCCTCCATTTTAGTGCACATTTTTTCATACCGCAGAACCACATGAATCCTATTGCAACCAGCACCCTTTGTGACCACAGAAAAGAAGCTTTTCTGTATCCTGTTACACTGCATAGGCCATGGCTAAATTAGGGGAGAAAGTTGACCTAAGATACGCAACTCCAGCTATGTGAACAATGCAGCTGGAGTCAATGTACCTTAGATTGAATGTCTGCAGCGTCCCCACTGCGGGAGACTGATGGGAGAAACTCATCCATCAACTTCCATTACTCCTTGTGACTTGGTGGAGTCAATGAGGGCATTCATTTAGCTGGTCCTTAGTAGACTCACTAAATTGTGCCCCGGGAGATCGATTGACCCAATGTCAATCTTGGGGTAAGTAAGGACAAGCCTAGTCTGTTGACTCCCTACTCAAATATCTGCAGTAGCTGTTCGTGGGATACACTGGATGTTGGCATGAAGGAGATTCACCCTGTGTGAGGACTGCTAGGAGAGCCATTTGGAAACCTGATTTTCTGTCTTGTGGTAAATCTGTTATTAAAAAAAATTGATTTCAGAATGGAATGAACTGTCTTGTGGTAAATCTGTTATTAAAAAAATTTGATTTCAGAATGGAATGAAAACAACAAAGTAAAACAAATTTTAAAAAGTTTTGGCTCAATCAAGTGGTTTCATTTAGAGTTCGACTTCACGTTCAGTTATCAAATGTAAAGTGTGTAAAAACTGAAATGAAAAGTAATTTTGAAAGGGAAAGTCAGCATGTTCTGTTTCAGTTTTATCGGACTGCTCAGGTCGGTGTTTTGTAAATGCATTTTCAGTGCAGTCAATGGCTGTTTTGCTTTGGACACATTCGCATTTTCCAACAAAAAAAAAAATTGGAATATTTCCAACCTATTTAGTCACAGGATAGACTGTGTGAAATATATGTAACAAACTCTCACCTGCTGCTACCACTCACCCAACACAATGCTGGGGGAACAGCAAATCTGAAGATGCTGATTCTTGCCACCAAACAGTCTGGCTGGGGTGTCACAATCCTGGCAGTGTGCTGCAAAGTGAAAATGTCAGCAGATAGATTGGTCACATTGTTATTAAGTTCTTAGCATATACAGACTACTATTTACAGTAACCTTGAAGAATCAGTGGGAGTTTTAACGTTTCGGGGACAGGACGAGTTGTCAGGAATAGTGTTTTTGTCACTAATGAGGCAGACTGGGAAGACTTTGGTTGTGCCACCTACAAAATGGCTTTGGTGCTCCTTACTCAGTGTGGTGTTGTGACAATTAGCTCAGATTTGAAAAGTGCTCTGCAATCTATAGTTGAGATGTAAAATAGAAACATGAAAAAGCTTTTATAAGTATTGTACAGTGAAAAATGAACTCCATTTTGACAAAAAGACCTCCTCTCCTAGAAATAGATGCTAGACTGCATAGAAGATTTGTCTCGTTACCCAGTGTTGGTGTGTGGATAGTCCCATTGTGAGCAAATGTTGTCACGGGGAGAAGAAACTGGGGAAAATTGATGATAACATCAGGAAAATCTGCTAAGAGACTGGGCAACAAAATGGCAAATGA